CCCACATCGGGCTCCCTGCTCGGCAGGAGGCCTGCTTCTCCCTCGCCCACTCCCCCTGCTTGTGTTCCTGCTCTCGCTGTCTCTCTCTCTGTCAAATAAATAAATAAAATCTTTAAAAAAAAAAAAAAAATGGAACCATGGGGCACCTGGGCGGCTCAGTCGGTTAAGCAAGTGTGCCTTTGGCTCAGGTCATGATCCCAGGGTCCTGGGATCTGCCTGCTAAGGGCTCCCTGCTCCGCGGGAAGCCTGCTTCTCCCTCTCCCCTGCCTGCCACTCCCCCTGCTTAGGTGCACGTGCGCATTCTCTCTCTCTCTCTGTCAAATAAATAAAATCTTAAAAATAAAATAAATTTTAAGCTTAAAATAGGCACATCTAGAAGAGGTTTTTGTAAAATACCTTTTTCATTCTTCTGTTAGCATCACAGGGTTCTCTTAAAGTTGAATATATAATTTCAATTTGTATGTCCTTTTTATTTAAAGAAAAGTAAAATTTTAGTGTTTGCATTTGTTTTTCACTTCTCTTCCCTACTTAGAAACGGTGGAAAGAACTTTCTAAGGAAGACTTATGCCCTGCTTTTGATCATTCACCAACCAAAATAATGACTGAAAAATACAATGGTAATAGGATAGGCCTAGAAGAAGAAAAACTGACAGGTGACAGATATACAGGACTATCCTCTAAAATGCAGGATACTACGGAAGAGAACAGCGAAAGGTAAGCTTATGGCAATTACATGCTTGAAAAGATGAGACTTTTTTATTTTAATAAGTTCAGTGGATATGAACTAATATAGGCCCTTTGTTTATTGAATTAATGTAGCTATTCATTTATTATCTAAGGCTATTGAAGTATTATATGATGACATCATTGATCTCAAAGAGCTTTCAGCCCTATTAAGAAGCCAGTACTTATAGACAGAAACCAGTTGGAAAATGGTTTAACTCAATACTAATTTGAGTGGTAAAGTTAATATAATTAGATGCTAAAACGTATAATACGATACAGAAAATAAGTGGTATGAATACCTGCCATTTGTACAAGTATTAGTGTTCATGCTATAGTAATGTAATGGATAATGTGCCTTTAATGAAATTATAAAATATTTAAATGAATAAATTTAATTACATTATTAGAAGGGAAGAAGTCTTTTTCAAAAAAAAAATTACACAAAATACGTTTTATACTTCGAGTTTTGAATCTATATGAAAGTATAAACGTTTTAAGTTTTTAAATTAAAACATTTACATTTCTAAGGCTCTAGTTATCTCCCATCCATTAGGAAGCTGGTATCCTGAGGTGTGAGTGAATGAGCCTGTTCAAGTCCCCTCTTCAGCACGTCTCAGTGATGTTTTCTCTCTTTTTGTCAAATACGCTTTTTATTTAAATGGCACATTTTATGTTTTAGTCTTATTTGTTACACTGGGATGTTGGGGCACCAAGAAAATCGTTGAGGTCTCCTATATATTATAGTAACTTCACTTCTGTATTTCCCCAATATAAAAATTGCCTGGGTGGCTCAGTCGGTTGAGCATTTGCCTTTGGCTCAGGTCATGATCCCGGGGTCCTGGGATTGAGCTCCGCATGAAGCTCCCTGCTCAGCGGGGAGCCTGCTTCTACCCCTGCTTGTGTGCTCTTTCTCTCTCTCTCACTCTCTGACAAATAAATAAAATCTTAAAAAAAAAAAAAAGAAAGGTAACATTGCAATAAATACATAGTTTATGTGTTATTATGTATTTATACTGAAGAGTTTATTATGACTTAGCAGCGTTACTCCTTATTTATGGCTCTAGGGGTTTGAGACTACAAGTTAAAGCATTAATTTGCTTATTCCTTCTTTCACCTTAAATATAATACTTTGAAATCAAGAAATCATGTTTTAAATTACCTTATCTTTTTCAGTAATAAGATTCTCAGGTTCCTAATGTTCTTGTAGTTTTGGCTACTACCATGTGCATAATTAAATGGAAAATAGGCTTGATTATTGAATTGGTGTCCTTAGTATTTCAGAGGTGTTGAGTTTTAATCTTTAAGGACACAGACCCAACAAGGTAAACCACTCATTGTCCAAATTTCAGTTTCAAGGAGATGAGGAAAACTGCTCAAGTTACAGAGTGTGATTGCAGAGGTGGTTTTATTGGGGCCCCCCCAGCCCACCCCCAAGGAGAGAGGAGACCAGATCATGCTTGAAAGCGGAGGCAAAGCCCCAATAGGAAAGTAAGGATTGTAAGCAGAGAGAACTAATTGAGGGAGCAGGTTGTAGAAAAGTAAAAGAGCATAAAATAAAGATTGCTGTGTGAAAAAGTATGTTTTTCAGTCCTAATTTTAATACTGATCAATAGCTTTGCATTAGGGAGGCTAATAAAATAAATCAAAATTTTATTGAAAGAATTTCAGCTTCAGGGGAGTAGGACACAATACTTTATTTTCTTTCATTATTAAATATCCTTCGGGGCGCCTGGGTGGCTCAGTTGGTTAAGCGACTGCCTTCGGCTCAGGTCATGATCCTGGAGTCCCGGGATAGAGTCCCGCATCGGGCTCCCTGCTCGGTGGGGGGTCTGCTTCTCCCTCTGCCCTCTTCCCTCTCGTGCTCTCTGTCTCTCATTCTCTCTCTCTCTCAAATAAATAAATAAAATCTTTTAAATAAATAAATAAATAAATATCCTTCAAGTCAGTTTTTTCATATTGGTCACATTCTCATAGTCATGAAATCAATTTAGTAAGTTATAAAAAAAAAAGCATTTTAAAAATAATAGAGTACAATAAAATAGAAATTAGAGTTTAGAGAAAAAATAGATCAGAGTGTCACAGATAATAACTATTTTAAGATTTTTATATATGTATACATAATATATAAATTCTGTGTATTGACATATACTTTGTGTACATGTACAAACGTGTCTGTGTGTGCAGTTACTTTGTTGTGATGGTAAGACATTTCTTGCTGTTAAGGTTTACCATCAAAGTTTAAAAGCCAGTGTTCTCAATTATAGTGCAATCCTTAAACCCAGATCCCTGAGTGGAGAACAGTTTGGATAAATGAGAAGTCAGGTCGTTTGGCTCCTCCTCCTGTGTGTTTGCATAGTGTGAGGTATGCCTGTTGAAACGTGTATTGGCTGTAGCCTGCTGTGTGTGCCACGGGGAGGACTTCCATATGGTCTTCCATAGGCAAGGGTCCACAGGAGTCCTTCCCTGCCTATTTGTGGCTTTTGATTACATGGACATAATTTCCTTAGGCCCAGCTAGGTAAAAAAAGATTTTATTGTATCACAAATTGAGAATAGTTTTTATTTCCTTGGAATTGCATTCTTAAACTAAGTAATGACATCTCTTGGTACTTGTTTTCTTTCCATTCCTGAAAACATCTGTACAGTACATTTTTGGAAAGCAAGAACCTCTATTCCCTGCATGATTTTATTTATTTTTTATTTTTTTTCAATTAATGATTTTAAATGGGAAAAATTGTGTTCTCAGCCCAACTAAAACCATAACCAGTTTCTCTAAATATAAAAATCCTCTTTAAAAAATCCTCTTAAACTGCTATGTAATAGTTAAAGCACTAATTACATAATCACATAACACTCGGTATACTCATATTGGGTTTACATGGTAAATATCTACACTGAATAAAAATTGTAATTATCTTCTATATTGCAGTGAAAATTTTAAATGAAATAATCTGTTAAAGATTCCATCTAAATTGGAACCTGGTTGTTTGATGGCTTCAGGCTCCTGACAGAAGCAAATACAAGGACCCGTGGAAGGCTGGGCCCTTGGATGGGAGCTCTGTATTCTTTTATGTATTTTATATATGCTTTGCCTGCACTTGAATACAACTTAAATTTTTTTCACTGATGGGTACACATGTATTTGTTAATAGTGATTTTTAAATTCAAAAAGTGAATTCTGAGTAATAATTTTTGCAAGTCATTATAGCAAATATTCAGAGAATTCAGACAGTCAAAGATACCTGGGTATATGATAGATAAAGTGAAGAAGACATTGGAAATCATAGGGCACACAGAGATAGGCAAAATAAAGTCCCTGAGTTGCGAATATATTTAGGGGGGAAATAAGAACCCAAATTAGCAACATAAATTATTTACTGTAAGTTAAATGCTATATGGTAAGAACAGAGGAGCTCTAGGGGTTGAGTAGAGGGAGAAATTGAAGAACAATTGAAATGAGGACCAGAGAGATTTCTAGTTTAGAGGGGAACAAATTTGGAGAATAGCAAAAAACCATTTGGGCGAGACAAAGTTGTGCACAGTAGGCAAACACTGGATAGTTTTTGTGTGAACATGTGTTTTCAGTTCTCTTGAGTATATACCTAGGAGTGCAGTTGCTGGGACGTAAGGGAACCCTAATTTCATATTTTGAGGACCTGCCAGTTTCACAAAGCGGCTGCATTGTTGTATATTCCCACCAGCAGTATCTGAAGGTTCCAGTAGTCCAAAGAAGTTGAACATTGATAAAATTACCTAATATATAGTTTGCATTCGAATTTCTTTGGTTGTATAACAAGTCTACCTTATAGCTTTTTTAAAAAATAACTTTGAGATATAATTTATGTACTATAAGGTTCACACATTGAAAGCATACACTCCAGTGGATTTAGTATATTTACAGAGTTGTGAAGCCATCACCATAATCTAATTTCAGAATATTTTCATGATCCCAGTCTCTTTAGTTATTTAAAGAAATAATCCAAGGTCTAATGAAGGATCATGCATCGTATTTAGTTGATGTGATTCTTTAGTCTCCGTTAATCTGAAATTGTTCACCACTTTCTTTTTTTTCCTTGCCTTGACCTTGACATTTTTGCAGCTGCTATACCAGTTGCCTTTCCTCTGATGGTTTCTCATTACTAGATTCAGGTTAAACATTTTGGCTGGCAGAAAAGTTGGCTCTTAATGTGTAGTATACTGAAAAGGCATTCAAGATTTTTGATCAAGCTACAAAACCAGAGAACTATACTTTAGAAAAATTGCTCTGGTGATAATGTTTAATTCAGAGGCAAAAGTTAGGTTTTTGCTGTAATACAGGCAATAAGTGAAAAGAGTAGATGGATTTTGTGAAATTTTTTTAAAGAGAAGAAATAGTAGTGTACATGTCATCATCACTGGCCATTCTTCTTTACAGTGTCCTAGGACCATGCGTCTTGGGAGTCGGAGAGCTTCCACTGGCACAAACATTCTGTATTGAATAGGAAAATGGAAGCTAGAAATAAGTGTGGACAAACAGAGCAATAGGCATCCCACGATAGAATCTTTACGGAAGTATTAAGTAGATAGCTTTTACCAGTGGCCTTTGTGAAAAATCATGTGTAAACACGAAAGGGGCTCGGACGCCAGGGACTCGTGTCTCCCACCTCTTCCAGCTGGTTAGCAAGAAAGAAAGCTGACAGCCACCAGCTCCCATTTCAACAAAGAAAGCACCATGCTTATTTTCAGGTCCTGCTAAAAGTATTTATTAATAGAATATTGTACCAGAAATTGTTGCTGAATTATCAGAGTACATCTCTAGACCACTTAGAATATTGAAAGTCCCCCTCTTTTTTTATTCCAGTGTTTTAATGAGTTTAAAAATATGGGGCTTGGGGAGTGGGTATTTGGGCTTCGGTCCTCTGTATTAGAGTAATAAGTTCTGCCATGCACTTTCTTTTATTTGTTTTTATTTTTTCCTAGCGTTCTACGGAAACGAATTAGAGAAGACAGAAAAGCTAACACAGCTCAGAAGGTGCAGCAGATGAAACAGAGGCTAAATGAGACTGAACGAAAAAGGAAAAGGTGGTTATATTGGCAACCTATTCTCACTAAGATGGGGTTTGTGTCATTCATTTTGGTGGGTGCTTTTGTTGGCTGGACACTGTTGTTTCAGCAGAATGTCCTATAAATAATCAGTTCTGCCCAGCAAGCTGCTGGTCTAGTAGCTGACAGTGTTGCGTTAGTCACAGGGTTTGTCTGTTAGCAAATTCCTCGCACCCCAGAAAGTGCGGTAGAATAGACACCAACCAGATAAGTGATATATTCAGTCCCCAGCCCAACATCTCAGGGCACTGTCCCCAAACTGTAAACAGCTATCTGAAATAAAAACTTGAATGCTTGTTGAAAACTGGTACATTTTGCAACTGTGTTCATACATGTTAAGCATACTGTTTCACCTGACCAGATTGAGAAGTCCTTTACCATAAGGATTGGTTTTTGGAGGCCAGCTGGATTTTAACCTGCACTTGATACAGCAATAAATACTGTGGTTTTATCTACATTATTACTGGAAAGAAAATGACCTTTAAATAATGCGTGTAATGTATAATGTACTGTTGACATGGGCGTTGACATTTTATATTCTTAGCCATTTCAGGGTAAATATATTTTATAAGTATCTATTTAATCTTACTTTTGTAGTTAAATGTACTTTTTAAAAACTCAATTTGAAAAATCTGTTACCATAAAAAAATAAATTGTGTGTTGATTCAATTGTACTGAATACATTTTCCTAAAGAGAAGTTTGGTACGAGCAGTTAGAACTAACTCTGAATAAGCAATTTTTACTATATATTTGCATTTCTTTTATGTTTTACAGTTTTCCCAATTTTAAAAAGAAAAAAAACAAAGAAACAAAAATTTTCCCTAAAAATATCTTTGAAGGAAAATTCTCCTTACTGGCATAGTCAGGTAACATTTGGTCAAGACTTTGTGTAAAGAAATTGGTTTCTGTAAAGCCCATGATGAATACTGTTTAATTTTCATGAAAATTTCAATGTAATTACCCTAATTTATAATTGGGGTAAATCATGACTTAGGAAATAAAAATAAGGAGCAGCATTTTATTATCCATGATTTCAGTTTACTAGACTGAAGTTTTGAAGTAAAATTTTTTCAAGTTCTTTCTACTTCAATAAATAGTATGATGATGTACAAACCTGACCTTGTCCCTTTAACTTCTTAATGGGTATTTTTAAAACATATTGTTTGATGAACTTAATTTCTCATTTGAGTGCAGTTCTTCTTCAGATCCCAACATTCCATTCAGTGTTTGACTTATTCAACTTAAACTTTAAGTAGTTGTTATAAATTTAATTGCTGATAGAATAAAATCACCTTATTTCAGTGGTTTTCAGGCTATGCTCATTGGATTTCTGAGGGATCTCTGAGAGGTGGTTGGAAGGACTCCAAGCTACCAGTCTTTACTTTCAACCAGACCATCTCTGCTTTATCTACTTTATATACTACGTATGATCTGTGTGTGAGGTGTAATTATTTGAAGGGGACAGTTACAATTTTTAAGAACAGTTTGAAAACCATTTGTATAGATAGGTATTTTGAATTGATTTGAATAGCCTTCTTGAATGTGTTAAATTATGCGGAAAGTCTGAAAGGATGTAGGTGGTACTACGTATTAAATCAGATTTGCGTAACTTGTGCCTGTGTCCTAATTCGGTATTACTGTGTCCTGTAACCTTTAAATGGAGAGGAGATAAGAGGGACTTTTTTTTCCCCCCCAATGTCTGTCTGCATTAAACCTGTGTTCAGGTACCAGGACCCGTCTTAATTGGTTTCAAACCTTTCTAATTTGCTTTGGTTTATATTTGCTAAAACACAGTATATTACTCTGCAAGTCAAATATGGATAGATCATACTAAATTTCCAATTGAAGATAGCCTTGCCTTAAACAAAAAGGTAAAGACTTCTTATAGGAAACAAATGCTGGTTAATGATGCACATTGCCCCTTTGCAGGGTGAATGTGCTTCACTGGATTCAAGATTTTAGCTTTGCTTTTTGTCTGCTTTCTGTCCTTCAAGTGGTGTTTGTTGTAATATATCTTAACAGTTACATTCAGTAAAGTAAGCATTTGTTGATAAACTTCTGCAAGGGTTACTCATCTTTCCTCCTTTCAAACAGATCCTGAAGGATAGTGTGTTAAGCTTTTACCAGTAATAGTATTTTTGGTGGGTTCCATATTACTAATTATTAAAAATACATGGCAATGTGCTGTGGTGCCCAGGGTCATCATCCTGAGCCTTTATTAAATAAGGTGTGCTAGTCAGAGGGAAGGACACAGACAAGGGCTCCTGCCTTCTCAGGTAACAGCCAGAGGACAGAGTTAGCAATCCACAATAGATTCATTTTACAAAATTTGTGTATCCTTAGGTCTTCCTAATATTTTCTAAACATAACAGATTTTAAAAGTCAGTTGTGTAGTTTGGTGTTAATGAGGCAGTATTATTTTTCGAATAAGTTAAGGAAGAAAAGATTTTTTAAAAAGCCAGAGGCTTTATTAAGAAAAGGTATTTATATTAATATATAGTGTATTCGTGTTCATCTCTGTCTCTGCTGATAAACTAACAGCAGTTTGATTTAATGCCATCTTCTCTGGCTATACCAGCTGGTTGTGTATTTGTCTCCAAGTTTAGCTAAGTATTTTATGCTGGGCTATTAGCAGTTTTTATCTATGCTTGCATATATATAACATGTACAAATGTGATTCTCCATTTTTCAGTTTATCCATATATAAAATAAAAATAATACCTTTTCTTGAATTCTTACAAGTTAAAAAAAAAGTAATGTGTAAAAGTGTATAGAGAATTTTAGAACAATATAAAGACCATTCCTCATGTTTAGGGGTATTTTATATATGTGCTCTGTCCTTTTCCTATTCTATCTTCAAATTAATACTGACTGTGTATTAATATTTCTACCAAGAAATGAACAAGAGAAAGGAAATAAAGTGTTTTTTTTTTTTAATAGCTCTGCTTAACAGGTATGTCATAAGAAAGAACTGTAACTTAATTTTATGTATACTTGTGCTTGTCCCCTTCATTTTAAATAAACTAGAATTGATGGTATGAATCAAAAAAATATGTATTGGTTTGAAAAGTAGTTTATGATACGGAGCAGTCCTCTACTTTTTATATCAAGTCCTTTGCTTTCAGTGTCAATTCAGAGTGGTGGTTGCTACCATTTATTGATCATTTACTATGTGCCAGGCACTGTGCTAATAAGCATTTTCATAGATTATCCTATTTAATCCTTAAAACAAGCTTTTGAGGTAGGTGTTGTTATTATTAAGCCATAATCAGCCTGAGACTGGACATTTCTACATTGTTTTATGCTGCTATCATTGAAAAGTCTCCTGTATGTAATATATTTTAGAATTAGATTATTCTCAAAGAAAGACTTACCCTCTGCAAGTCATTTCCCTCTTAGAAAAATACATCTGACTAGATTCTGTGTAAATAGACACAGGCCAGAACCTGATTATATTAGAAATACTGTCATTAACCTTTGTGTACTCTATTTCAACAAGTACCTGCATCTCCAAAGTGCCTGCCCGGTTATTGTACAGATTTTAAAATCTAGTCTGCCTTAATTTTGACTTTCAGACACAAAATTTACAGAGGTTTTATTTTAATGTAGTCCATTATAAGCCTAATGCCATTATGTATATCATCCACTTCTTCCTGCGTTCAGGCAGAAGTCTAGGAATCACACCTTCTGTCAGCATTGATTTATTTTTTTGTCCAGAGGTGCACGTGGGTTTGTTAGGGGGGTGGAGAGTAAGGAGCAAGGGTGTGAGTCTCCAAATCTGCTGCACCCCAGGAGGGGGGGAAGCTGAGGTCAGACTTGGTGCAGTGATCCTGGCCTGAAACTAAGTGCGTTTGCTCTCTGTTCTTATTTCTATGTCAGTAGCTAATTAAATCTCTCTTACTTTAAGAAACCTTTAATTTGGCCTTGACTTATTTAGAGGATAGGGGCACAAAATCTTACAAATATAATTTGGAAGGTAATATTCTTCCACACGACAAAACTAAGTTCTCCTGACTTAATATGCAGGTCTTGGTCATTCCCTGGATGGTTTATTCTGGAGTTGACGTGTTTCTTTGATCTTTTTCCCTAGTTCATTTGTTTGGATTTGATTCCATTTTTCTCTTACATTTATTTTCAAAGCAGTATTTATAGGACAATATCACCAACAGCCCCTACAAGAGTGAATGACTCTTTTAGAACTTCCAGTTGTCTCTCGTTCCATTGGATATGTTACGTATAAGTGATGACATGCCTTCGTGGGAAGAAACTCGGGTTGTGTAAGCCGCACAGCACCTGCCCTGCCCAGGAATCCCCAGCCCGGATACTGCACACCTGAGGCTGTATTCCATGTACTCACCATAATATAGCCATTTCGTTGTTCATCCAGATTTGACAATGTAACTTAGGAATTTTAAGCTACTCACTTTCTTGGGTAGTGTTTGAAAGAAGACTTCTAGGAAAGTGGTATGAGTTTGGCCATCTCATTTTTCCCTTACCCACAGGAATTTTCTCAGTATTTACCACATTCAGATTGCTCCAAGAACAGCCAATTCTGCACAGGTGCTCTTCAGAGAAATGGTTATCTCCTTTGGCTACTAAATTCTGGAAACTTCTTTGGGGAGAATTTTTTCCTCACTGTCATTTATTCCATCACAGAGCATTGCTAAGTGGAAGCAGTGTATCAGACGAGAAGCTTTTCCTTGGGTTGAAAGGCTTTGTCTTTATCGGTGACAACCTGACAATGAAAAAGTTTTAAAGAGCTCTGACAATCTCTGTGAAAGTCCACTGGGAGAATGAAAAGTTCAGTCTTTTGAACTCTTTCTGTTTTGGTTTTATAATGTACAGTAGAATATGGAAATTACAGGATATAGAGGCGACCTTACTTATGGAGTCCAGTACTAATCTGGTTTTTCATTACATAGTGTATTTGGGGAGCTATAAGGAAGATTGCATGGGAATTCTTTTTCTTTATGGAGACCATTTTTTAAAGAAAAGCATCAATTCTTTATTGTTGCTCTAATTTGACATAGATTTTATCGAAAAAACAAGTGATTTTGAGTTTGGTGAATTCAGGAGAGGGAAACTAGGTAAGTTTGTTTTCTCTATAAGGCAATGCTTTGCTCACCTTAGAGAAGGTTTTGTGATTCTTTTCAGTAAAAAAAAAAAAATAGTGTGAATATCTGGTGGCAAAGAATACTTTGGATGCAGTTTGACTTTCTATTACTTCAGGTATGGAGCCAGCTTGGGAAGATCATTCTCTGTCTGTAAACCTAGCCCTGTTCCAGAATAAGGGCAATGGGCAGTATGTGCAGGCTGCTTTCTCCAGAGAAAGCAGCAAGCATGGCTAATTATTCCACTTTAGTTCTTTGAACCCATTTTATTTTGACTTGTTGAACAAATGAATCAAGTGAATATTTTTTCCTAAAATAAAGCCCATTTGTCTTCAGTCTTGCAAATAAATACATTCTTTAAAAACAGTTAACACTCCCAGTGATTTTATCTTATTTTCTTATCCCCCAGAATAATATTTACAAAGAAAAAAGTGAATTTTTAAAAATGCTGTCAGGTTCTTTTAGTTATTGTTACACACGATAGTTTATCCTTGATAAGTGAATCTCTAACACTGTGCTGGGGTAAACAGTGTATGTTGGACACATGCAGTTCTGCCAGTCAGCTTAAATACATAATCTAAATATAATCTGCTTAACACCTCTTCTAGATATGTTACCCTATTTTAAGATAAGAAAACCGAGTCAGAGAATAAGTAACTTCCCCATGATTGCACAGCTAGTACATGACAGCTGAAATTCAGACTCCTGTCTGTAGAATTCCAGTAACTCCAAACCTCATGCTTCTTCCATTATGACACATGGACTCTGTTTTGTATGGACTATCTAAATGGAAAAAATTAGACAACTACTTTTACCTGTTAAAATCCAAAGTAATGCTCTTTTTATTTTTTAAGTGAAGCAAATCAAAGTTTTTACCTCCAAAAAAATTTGTGAGAACAGTTTGAATTGCCACCAAACCAGAGAAATACTGGAACATCAGAATATTCTCTAAACCACACCATTATTTCATTCACCTTGATTGATTAGATTGAGTTACTTTGTTCTGATGAGCAGATTTTCTGAATGTGTGGGAAATAGATATTTTGCAGCAATCCGAGTCAGTAAGAAGTACCTTTCCTTACTTCCATCCACTATGGTGTAGGGTTCAGTAAGACCCTGCAGTAAGCACCTGTGGTAGGTTTTGTGACTCACAGACATCTAATGAGAATGTTTTCTTGATGACTTGACATTTCTGTGTCAGTGCTAGACAATAAAGGAATAGGGCTATTCAGAACACCAGGTGCTTGGTATTGTTATTCTTCAGTAGGAAGAGTCAGTAGTCAGGAAGAAGCCCAGTTTACGGTATTTTGAGGGCTTTTGACTAAATGTTTTGGGAAAATGTATGGACGTGGTTTATATTCCTATCTATGTGGAGACACAATAATGACAAGTATTTAGATTTGAGTTTTTTTTGTCATAACGAGGGAAGTCGGGAAGAAAAAAAATACCCTCTCAAAAGTTCAGTTATTTGCAAATATGTGAAATACTATCGAAAACTGCCCTTAAAATAGCTATTTCATCTGTCTGTTGCTTAAGTTCTCATTAATCTTTACTTTTTGACATTAAAATACAATAAATCGGTCAATTATTTTATGTCTTTGGGTTTTTTTTACATTGATAATAACTTAAATCATGTCACTTTGGTTCTCTGTTGCTATAATCAGTAGTATCCTTCAGGACAAAAAAAGCATGCTGCTAACAGGCCGTGATTTAAAGATTTAAGCCAACTTTATGTTCAAACATTACATTCCTAATATTTTTAGCAGTATGATACAGTGGAGGTCCAAATTGGATTAGACTTTTGCATTGAATTCCAAAGTATTGGTAAGTCTAGCACATACCATATAATCTTGCAAAACTGTTGTGGGTACATTTTTTTTAAACCTGTCTGTCTGTCAGTATCTCGCATGGAGGTCATTTCTTAAGTAATACAGGATGACCTGAGAAATTCATAGTTAGTAATTCTTGAAAAAGCCGTATGAGTTATGGTGCTTTAACATGAGTCTACCTCACACCACCAATTCTGTTTGAAAATTGAGCACATAAGCAGATTTACCAAGATAACAGTGAAGCATTTAGTGTGGTTGAATGTGACATGTTGGAATGTTTTTTAGTTGCCTTTTTAGTTCATTATTAGTCCTTTTATGTTTGTGTGTATCTGTGTTCGTCTGTGTGTTTGGTAAATATGAATCGAATAGATGACTTCTTATTTTATGTTTTAGGCCAAGATTGACAGACACCTAAATATTCATGACTTGAGAATATTCTGCAGCTATAAATTTTGAACCATTGATGTGCAAAGCAAGACCTGAAGCCCACTCCGGAAACTAAAGTGAGGCTTGATAAACCTGTAGATTGCCTCACATTTGTCTGTTTACAAAGTAAACTTTACATCCAGGGAACGAAGAGCACCACCAGCAGAAGACTTTGCAGAACTCTCTAATTTGATGTATTGTTAAGTTTTTTAATACGTGTATGAAATGTAGAAAGATGTAAAAGAAATAAATTAGGAGAGACTACTTTGTATTGTACTGCCATTCCTGCTGTATTTTTATACTTTTTGGCAGCATTAAATATTTTTATTAAATAGACTATGTTGGTTTGTGTGCATTATCTTAGGACAGCTCTGCTTCAGATAATGTTTCCTTAAAGGGTTTACTCTCACTTTTTTATAGCTCGCAATTGACATTTTTTTTTTTGTTTATTTGACAAAGACACAGCAAGAGAGGAAACACGAGCAGAGGGAGTGGGAGAGGGAGAAGCAGACTTCCTGCCGAGCAGGGAGCCCGATGCGGGGCTCGATCCCAGGACCCTGGGACCATGACCTGAGCTGAAGGCAGACGCTTAACGACTGAGCCACCCAGGTGCTCCCGCAATTGACATTTAAATTGAAATTGGTTCAAAATGCTGGTCACTTGCTTTTTAAGATCTTTTTTAGTTACCTCTCAAATAGTCTTCCTATCAAAATAGGTTAGGTGCAAGCACAAAATAAAAGTTATAATATTCCCTTTGTTACTTAGAAAAGTATGAATATGGATAATGGTATTAAATTGTTTTCAAATAAGTACAGCAGTTCAATGCAGTGTTTTAAAATCACTGTGTTACTCTTGTGTTGGACATTGTGCTTTTTTTCTCAGACATTTCCTGTTAGAAGAGACCAAGAGTTCCTTCCTGGGTGAGGCTTTTGGCTCCTTTCCCAACCAAGTGATGAGTTTGGGCTGAATATCCAGTCAGTTGTCAGGTTACTGGTGATATTCTTGTTGTCTAGACAAGACAAGCCTCTGAGTCATGTGAGCATCACCTTAACAGTCTAACAAACTCATAATTGTTTTTATTTTGCCAACTGAAAGTTTGATAATACCGTTCATTGAATACATCTCTTTCATCTTTTAAAAATGTAATGACTCTCCTTATGTTCCTTTTGCCTTGCTTTCCAGCATTTTTGGTTTATTTTAGGAGTAAGCAAACTCTTAATTCCTGGTAAATCTTTCATAAAGAATGCATGAAAAGTTCATTATACCACAAAGTAGTACAGCAAGATAATCCTCTTTTTGTGTCAAAGTTATTGAAGGTCATCTACACTCAACTAACTACTTCTATTTCCCATTTCCCATCCACCCTTTACCGACCAGTGCCTGATTCTTTTGTGTCACTCCAGAAATGACCCAGGACAGTCACCTTAGCTCGTACTGTAGCCAGATAGAGTTTACTCTTCAGTTTTTACTGTACATGACTTCTTGACAGCAACATTAAGAATTCCTTCTTTGAAGCTTTCTCCATAAACTCAGTAAGACCTTTCTTTGCTTGCTTTGCCTCAGTTTTTCTGCCTGACCCTTGATTGATTGTAAGAACACTTAACATGAGATCTCTCCTCTTAACAAAATTTTAAGTGTATAATACGTTACAGTGTTGTATAGCAGGTCTCTAGAGTTTTTTCATCTTGCTTAACTGAAATTTTATGCTTGTTGAATATGATTCCCTTTTCCTCCTGCCCCCACCCCCAGCCATTGGCAACCACCATTCCACTCTGATTCTATGAATTAGACTATTTTAGACACTTTATGTAAGTGGAAACACCCAGTATTTGGCTTTCTGTGACTTGTTTTACCTAGCATAATGCCTCAAGGTTTATCCATGTTTCTGCATATTACAGAATTTCCTTTTTAAAGACTGAGTAGTATTCCATTGTATGTATACAGTTGACTCTTGAACAACACGGGGGTTTGGAACACCAACCCCCACACAGTCAAAAGTTTGTGTGTAACTTCTGACTTCTCCAAAACCTAACTAGTAAAAGCCTGTTGTTGACTGAAGGCTTACCAGTAACATAAACAGTTGACACCTATTTTGTATGTTACATGTATTCTATACCGTATTCTTACAATAAAGTTGGCTAAAGAAAAAAAAATGTTACTCAGAAAATCATAAGGAAAAGAAAATACAGTTATAGTACTGTACTATGTCGATACCATAATTTTATGTTCTCTGTTTATAAGATGAATTATCTGTCAGTACCTGTATCAGTATTATCTTATATAAAATACTGTAGATGTGATACATATTCCTAACACTAGACATCAAAAATGGAAAGGTAATGTGAAAAATCCAGATTTCTTTGTAGGAATAATGATTCATGCATTGATAACAAGCAGCAATATGATTACTTTATGGTAACCTAGTGTAATCAATACAATTGCTTCACAGTGGCCTAGCGTAATCAATATGATAGCCTAGCATTACCTTAATGAATGAATCGTTATAAAATTTTTGTGGCATACAGTATTACAGTCATATTCATAATACAGTATTGGAAACATTAACATGTGATACATCTAGGCAACATGGTTCATCTGTGCATTTTTTCAAATTGTTGCAAATCTCCAAAAGTCTAATATATTACTGAAAAAAGATCTGCAAATAAGTGGACCCACATAGTTAAAACCTGTGTTGTCCACCTGTGTTGCCACATTTTCTTTATTCATCTGTCAATGGATTCGGTTGTTTCCACATCTTGACTATCATGAATAGTGCTGCAGTGAACATGGGAGTGCTAGTATCTCTTCAAAATCCTGACTTTTAATTCTTTGGGATAAATATCCAGGAGTGGGGTTGCTGGATCATGTGGTAGTTGTATTTTAATTTTTGAAGGAACCTCCATACTCCATAGCAGCTGCACCATTTTGCATTTTCACCAACAGAGCACAAGGGCTCCAGTTTCTCGACATCTTCAACACTTGTTTTTGATAATACCACCATGACAGGTACAAGGTGGTGTGTGTGTGTGCGTGTGCGTGTGCGTGTGCGTGTGTGCGCGCACGCATGGGTGCATTTCCATGATTAGAGCATCTTTTGATAAACCTGTTGGTCATTTATGTGTCTTTGGATAACTGTTCTTTGCCTTTCAACTGGTTTATGAGTTTTTCTGCCATTGAATTGTAGGAGTTCCTTATATATATTTTGGAGACTAACCTTTTATTGGGTACATGGTTTGTAAATATTTACTCCCATTTAGTAGGTTGTCTTTTCACTCTGATGGTTTCTCTTCTCTCTGACTTGAATATTGGAGCTCCCAAGGACTCTGTCTTTGGGCTTTAACATATTTACCTTGAATGATCTCATCTTTTCCCAACTCTTTATCTGATTCCTCTGTGCTGATCATATGCAACTTCCTCCACTCCTGCCCCGGTGTTAGCTCTGAGTTATAAATCATATATCCAATTCCGTAAATTGTAATGGCATAAATTTCTTAAACCCCAAAACTGAGTGTTAATTTCCCTCATCCCGAACTCCCCATTCCTCCTGTCTTATCAATTCGGTGGCACCCATCAGAAACCTGAGATTTATTCTAAATCCCTCTACTTGGGCTCCACATCCAGTTGGTCACAAAGTTCTGTTAATCCTACTTCAAACTTTCATTACAGACGGGGAGCACAGCAGTAGACTCTCCTGCCCCCTGTGATAACACCTGTTTGTACCAATCCACTCTGCACAGCCTCCCAAGTGATTTAAAATAAAGATCTGAGTGTCACCCTCCTTAAAATTAGCTAATGGCACCTTAGAAAAACTTGCCTTCGTTTTAAATCCCGAACCCCCAGCATGCTGTGTGCAACCGTTTCATCTTTTGGCTGTTACCTGACTGTCCTTTTTTTTGCTTTTTTGTTTTTTGGTTTTTTCCTAGTTTTACTGAAAAATAATTGACATTGTCACTGTATGAGTTTAAGGTGTATAGCATGATGGTGTGATATGCATATATTGTGAAATGATTACCATAGTAGGTTTAGTTAATATGCACCTTCTCATATACATACAATAAACAGAAGAGAATTCTTGTGATGAGAACTCAGGATCTACTCTTAACTTTCATGTGTATCACATGGCAGTGTTAGCTATAGTCATGTACATTACATCCCTGGTACTTACAACTGGAAGCTTGTACCTTTTTCCAATTCTCTCTCACCACCCACCCCCCCAACCATCCACCTCTAGTAACCACAAATCTGATCTCTTTTTCTGTGAGTTCATGGTTTTGTTTACACATATGAGTGGATCACACATATTAAGTGAGATTATACAGTATTTGTGTTTCTCTTCTTTCACTTAGCATAGAGCCTTCAAGGTCTACCCATGCCACAAATGGTAGGATTTCCTTTTATTTTTTTGATTGAATAATATTCCACACATACCACATCTTCCTTATCCATTCCTCCATTGATGAGCACTTAGGTTGTTTCCATGTTTTGCCTATTGTAAATAATGTTGCTATGAACATGGGAATGCAGATACCTTTTTGAGTTAGTGTTTTTATTTTTGGATATATTCCTAGAAATGGAATTGCTGGATGACAAGTAGTTCTGTTCTTAATTTTCTGAGGAACCTTCATACTGTTTTCCTTAGTCACTGTACCAATTTACATTCCCACAAACAGTGCACAAGTGTTCCCTTTCTCCACATCCATCCTCCTGTCTTTTTGACGATGGCCATTCTAACAAGCATGAGGTGATACCGTGGTGGTTTTAATTTGTGTTTCCTTAATGATTGGTGATGTTGAACATCTTTTCATGTTGGCCATTTGTGTGTCTTCTTTGGAAAAAATGTTCGGGTACTTTGCCCATTTTTTAATTGAATTATTTGGATTATTTTGCTATTGAGTTGTATGAGTTCTTGATATATTTTGGATGTTAACCCTTTATCAGATATGGTTTGCAAATATTTTTTTCCCACTTTGTAGATTGTCTTTTCACTTTGTTGATGGTTTTGCTGTGCAGAAGCTCTTTAGTTTGATGTAGTCCCACTTGTTTATTTTTGCTTTTGTTGCTTATGCTTTGGGTGTGACTGCCTGTCCTTAATGGGCACCCTAAAGGGCAGCTATGTCAAACCATTTGGAATTAGTGGAATATTCCTTGCTCATTAATTTGTTGAATGAATATTTATTGAACACAATGTGCTGAGCATTATACGAGGTCTTGCATATTCAGTGACTGCGGGGGAGAACATGGTTGTAGACTACTACAGTCTTGTGGGAGAGCTAAACAGTCGCCATGTAAATAAGCAAATATGCAATTAAAACTAGTGATAAAGTGCTGTGATGAAC